CCACTCCTACGAAATGAATGGCAAGACATGCAGCGGTAAGGCATCTAAGATTGGTGGAGCAATTACTACCAGTGGCACGAAGTATACAAATGAAGAGTTGAAGTATACAAATGAAGAGTGCGCACGCCCGAATGGCACAAAAAGCGATGGTGGGAATCAAGACAACGGTCAAGGACACCACCCTGGAACACCTGCAATACCGGCAGGGGCTTTCGATGGGAGCTGATCGATATGCATCATGACAAAATAAAGGCACTATGCATCACAAAACGTGTCAGCTACAAGACAAAACCCCAGGCTAACTTTGACCTGGCCGATCATCGAGCCAATGTCAAATATGGAACAACCAAATGTCAGAATCCTATCATCAATCTTGACTAGGAACATCATGAAGGTGATTCGAAAGAGGAGGATGACAATAAGAACTGACTCTCATTTACCCTGGTGCAACTTTGTGATCTATGTGATCGATTGATTGAGTACCGACGGACTAATGGTAGTACAGACTCGAATATACAGATGTTGTTTAAGCTGCTGATCTTGAAACTTGCACTAGCTGAGGCCTTTCGTTCGATGAAGAAATGTATTCCAGCTTGGCTCGATGTATTCGCAAAGCATGACTTAGACTTCTTGAAGCAGGGATAGTTGTGTGTACGTGATCACATCACTTTACTGTAAGTCCCAATACATAGGCCAAATTGTCTGTCAGTCTGACGTACGGTGGAGGAAATACATGCCACTTTGCTATTGGAGCCGTCCTCTCCTAACACTTCCCCCGCGACATCCCGACCCCCCCCTCCATCAAGGATCCCCCCACCCACTCCGAGGCTCCACCCGACAAGTACCCTATCGCATTTGCGAGCAAGAAGGTCATCCCCACGGAGATGAACTACCCTTCCAATAAGAAAGAACTCCCCACCGTCATCCATGCTCTCAAAGCTTGGCGCCCATACCTCGACGGTCAGTACTTCACTATTTGCACCAACAACACCATCGTATCAAGCATACTCACCAAGAAAGATATCACACCCCGCCAAGCCCAACGGTTAGATTTTCTCGCCCATTTTACATTCACCATCTGCCACAACCCCCGCAAAAGCAACCGCGTCGTTGATGCCGTCTCTCAACGACGCGACCACAAACCCCCTGAGAAAGTCTATGCCGCCATAACTCATGTTCAACTCTTACCTCCACTCCACCACCGTTATACTCACGGGTACTCTTCATGCCCCGATTTCTCTACCATTTACAACAAGCTTCGCGACCTGGACACCGTCCCCGACTACTCCCTCCATGACAACCTCTTGTACATCAATAAAAAAGGCACTCGTCGACTTTATATCCCTGATGCACGTGGTCTTCATACCCAACAGTTACTCTTGGTCGAACACCACAATGCCAAGATCGCAGGACAACTTGGTTCCCAGAAGAAATTCAACACCGTCTCTCGCTATTTCTACTGACCCTCACTCCTCGCCAACGTCAAAACATACATCTGATCATGCCTCACTTGTAGAGCAGTTAACCTCTCAAACCAGGCCAAGCATCGCAAACTTCGGTCATTGCCTATCCCCACACATCGGTGGAAGTCCATCTCTATGGACTTCGTGTGCGGTCTCCCCATGACCGATCGCGACTATGACTGCATCAACGTCATTGTCTGCCGCTTAACCAAGCAAGCCCATTTCATCCCTTGCACCACTTCTCACAATGCCAAAGTTTTGCCACACTCTTCTTTGATCATGTCGGGTGCCACCACGGTCTCCCCGAAAACATCATCACCGACCGTGATCCCCGCTTCGTTTCACAATTTTGGAAAAACTTGTTAAAAGCCTACAACACCACTCTCAAGTACAACACTGCGTTTCATCCCCCGACCGATGGCCAGACCGAAAAGATGAACGATACTCTCCAAATGATCCTGCGGAAGTATTGCCATCCAGACCAGCACGATTAGGATCAGTTGTTCACCGCCACCGAGCTTGCCTACAACAATGATGTCTGCCCTTCCACTGCCATGTCCCCATCCTACCTTGACCTTGGCTACCATCGCCGCTTGCCCGCAGACTTCTTGCTTTCATCGCAGCTCAACCCATCCACTACCTGTCCTTCTCTCAATGAATGGGTTGCAACAATGAACCGACTCCTTGGAAAAGCCACTGACGCCCTTGAAAGAACCCAACAACAACAAGCAAACAAGACCAAGAAGCACAAACGATATATCACATTCAAAGTAGGGGACAAAGTCTGGCTCTACGTTAAACGCTTTGAACCCGAACATGGCTTGTCCAAGAAACTCTCAAACAAGTGGCTTGGTCCATTCCCTGTCATTGAACAAACATCCCCTATAAATTACAAACTTCAACCACCCTCTGACATGAGCCATGTTCACCCTATCTTCCATATCGAGTACTTAAAAGAATACCATGAATCACCTCCACAATTTGCTGACCGCCCATATCCTAAACCTCCACCAATCATGCTACCTATCGGGTCAGAATTTGTGGTAGAACCTAACCTGCAAATGGCAGGAGTGTGAGGCCTTGTAGAGAGATTTGGGTTTTGCTGAGGGAGGAAGGCAATCCAGTGGCGAACTGGGGGGGGCTGCCTTGACAACCTATGGGGCCGGGGATAGTCTAGGTGGCGAGAAGAGGTCGACTATGGTTGACGTTGGTTAGGTTGGTATTGTCTCTGAGTTGCAATGTCCTGGTGCAGGGAGGGCTAGGAGTTGTTCTAGAATTAGGAGGCCAGACTGACACGGCAAAATAATTCTAGCAAAGTGGCATGTGTTTCTGAGAGCTAGGAGTTGTTAGCATAGTCTTCTATATTTCTTATATACACTAATCATCATCATCATTAGCATCATCATCATTGGTATGATTATCTCACATTTCACATAGAATCAGCAGGAGTTCATCATCATCATCATCATCATCATCCTCAAAAAAATAAAAATAAAAAAAAATTGAAGCACAACTCAAGTATCCGATCACCCGAAACCAATCACTGAATTCAAAGTCAAATGGACCGGATACCTAGATGCAGAATCTACATGGAAACCCCTCGATAATTTAAAGAACGCCATGAAACTTGTTCGTGCCTATGATCGTGCTCACCCTGTATCCTAGCTATATACTACGCATAACACCCATATACCCTGCATAAACCCTGCCTCATTGCTCTACACACACACCCTCCACCCAGCAAAACCCCTGCCCCTCGACATCTCTATGTCTGATCCGCTCTTGCCTCTGTCTCGTTTCCCAATCTGCCCTCTGCCACATCCTCTGTCTCTCTTATCCAAGCCTTACCTGTGGCTTCTGCGCATCGCTGACGATAAAGGATCTAATGGCAAGCGCACGAGGAGGATGGCCCGCTGCAGCACAGTTCGAGGAGATTAAGCAGTTGGTTGGCCACCATGCTGTCCCATTGGCCAGCACCTGGAGTTGCAGACTTCGGGAACAGCACTCTTGACATGGACATCAGTATCAGTTTGCGACCTGCTATCCGGATCAGACTTCATCATCAGGATCATGTACAGGACGCACCTTGGCACTTGTGCCTTCATCTATTGGACTGCTACACTACTTCTTTCAAGCTGGACCCCTCGCTATTACACGTCGCAAGCCTGCTGAAGACTGGTTTATCATCAGCATTCTGTCTATCCATACCTGGACTTACCTCAAGACCTGCTTCAAGACTCTCGGCCAGACATTTTTGCAGAACCTGTGATTTCCCCCCCAACCGCATTCACTTCGAGACCCTCGGAAACCCCAACCCACGAGCACTGCAAAATGATTCTCCTTTCTTTATTTTTGCTCACAGAACTCTTTCGCCCAATAGTTCATCAGTACAACAACCCTGTTCCCCCTCATACCATAACCCTGTAGTCCATCAGTAGGAAAACCCTGTTCCCCTGCAGTTCCTAAAGACTGTAGTTTATTAGTAGGCAAACTCCGTTCCATCTCAGTAGTCCATCAGTAAACAGACTTCGTAGCTCATCTGTAGGAAAACCCTGTTTCCCCCAGCCCTTGCTACCCACATTATACCCCTCTCCCTTTTTCTTCCTGCTTCCCAGTGACCGGCACTATTTTCATGACTTTTGGCAGTAAATGTCCTTCACAGGATTCAGCACTATTTTCATGACTGTTGGCAGTCAGGACGTTGCCTTCTAGAGGGAGGGGATAGTGTTACGGACTCCGCCAGGGCTCGATCCCTGGTCTGCGGATTACCACCCGCCAATTGCTGTATTTATTTTCTTTTTTTTGTTTTTGTGATTTTCTTGTGTTTTTTTTTTGTACTTCGTTTTCGCTTTTCCGATTTCGGGCAGTTGGCGCCATCTGCATCCTGGCGCCCGTTTTCAAATTCCTCCTTTTTCGACTTTTGGATTTCGGACACTTGGCGCCATGGCATCCGGCATTCTGGCGCCCACTCTCAGACTTTCGATTCTCCGTTATAACCCTGAGGCATTTTCACTTTCGTCCTCAGGACCGTACACGAGTCCGGTACTCAAGTACGGACTCAAGCACAGTACAGACACCAAGTTTTCAGCCTCAGTGCTTGTGTTCAGTGCGACTTTGCTTCGACCTTGTGTTCGGGAATTCAGGAGTGCGACTTTGCGACTCTTGCCGCTTTGTGTCTGCGTCCGTCGAGTCGTGTCAAGTCTACATCGAGTTGAGTGAGCGTGTGTGTGTGCTCTCACTCTCCCTCTCTCTCCCAGCCTCGCTGCTCTACCTCTGCCTTGTCACAGTGGTGGCCTTTTCCTAAGTCTTGTGAGGGCTTCTGTCGTCAAATTTTGATGACATCAGCAAGCCATAACAGAACTGAAAAGGTGTTGACAACAGGGGGGAATGGCATAAGAGAAGAAATTACACGCAATTGAAAATAGTTGAAGAAGATGATTCGAGCTTTACTGTCATGGCGTACATCATCAAATAGTTGAAGAATGGCATACATTGGTCCATGAAGTAACGGCACGGAGGTGGTATGCGTACCGGTGTTGCAGCATGTGCTGTTCCCCTAGAGCACCAGCAGCAGACAACAACAGGCTTGACATTGGCAATGCCTGATGAACGTCAGGAGCAGCAGTTTCCAGTGCATTCCCAGATCTCTTTCAAGAATTGTGGTGCGGCTTATCACCGAGGATGCCATGTGGGCGGCGAGGTGTGGTGCTGTGACTTCGTTGGCATGATTTTGTGGCCAAAGTCCAAGCGCTCAATCTCCCGTCAGCGAGCTGTTGATGAGGAAAATGCTGCTAAGGAACATGGAGCAGTTCCTGTGGGTGTCTTTGTGGAGGAGGGAGTTGAAGAGATAGTTGATTGGTGTACGTCCGCTGGCATAACCATTGCTCAACTCCATGGAGATGGTGCAAGGTGAGCATTGTGTGATTTGCCAGATTGGCTGCAGCTGCAAGTGCTGTATGTTTTGAACGCTAACAAACACGGGACACTGCAACCGGCTTCACTGTTGGGACTAATTGGTCGCCGCCGACTCGCCGGCTCCTGAAGAAGGTCACCGTAGTCATGGTATGCTTGTCAATGGACTTGGTGACTGGGTGCTCATTGATGGTATGTCTGGAGGAAGCGGTGTGAGCATTGACTGGGAGAGGTCGAGAGCCCCACAGAATGGCTGGTGGCGAGCAGGTGGTCTCCACACCCTGGTAATGTGAGGAAAGCGGTCCTGATTCTTTGTCCGGATTTGGTCGACTTTTAAGTGGAATTGCTGGGATAGATGGCATGCAAAAGGACTTGAGTAAAGTCATGTCCTTCATTGATAATGTCAAGTCTTTTTTTTTTTTTTTTTTTTTTTTTCCGGCAGTGCTTTCTGATGAATCAGCTGCTAGATAAGATGCATTGTGCGCACGATCTTTCTTCTCTTGTGATCGATCGATTGATCGGCTCTTGTCGAAGAGTTGTCCATAGTGACACGCCGAACGACTAACAATGGACTGAGGCCGTTCGACATGTCACTGCGGACAAATCTTTGACAAGAGCCAATCCGCGCCAACGTTTAGCGTCAGTCTTGTCCGAAGTGCACGCATCTTACCATGGTTCTTTTCAAGTGAGGCCTTGTGAATCATGGTCTGGCATCTGAAGACAAAACTCTCGACTGAAGTCCAAGCGTTTTCTTGGTCTGGCGTTCACCTTCCACCACGTCCATTTCTTTGCTTTGGCGACAATCATCCTGCAGCGTTAGTTGCTTTTCTCACGAGCTACCTTCTTCCCCCGAATACAACGTACGCCATACGGTCATTATATCTGTATTTAGGCTGAAAGATACCCCAAATACAGCTATAATAATGATCGTACGTTGTATTCAGGCGAAGAAGGTACTAGTCTCTTGAGTTCACAGTTGCAACATTTGTAGCAGAAAGGAAAATTAAATCTCCGAAGAGTTCGAAGAGTTATCAATGCACGGAAGCGTGCACATTTGGTCGCTACCGTCTTCAGCCGAATATAACGCCCGGTCATTATAATAGCTGTATTTGGGGCATTTTAAAGTCCAGATGCAACGATAATGACCCGGTGTTCTATTCGGGTAAAGACGGTAGTTCTTCAGGTGGGGTGTATGAAGTCTGAAGTTCAGATCCCAACTACCGGGGAGATTATTACTGCTCCACGAAAGTGTGAATGGGTTGAGATGGCATATGTGCTGCTGCAATGGAACAGAGTAGAGTGATCCTGCCGGACCTGGACCTAATTTGGTTGAAAAACAAGCTGTCCCCCCCAGGGTCTTGAGGTGCTGCTTCTCTTTCTTCTCCATGGGAGTGTTGTGCATGTGTCAGATGCTGTAATAGGAATACTATTAGTCAATATCAGTCGTACTTTTCCAAATCGATCCAACCTGGTAGCCCTCCAGCTGTGGATTTCTGCGCCTCCATAAACTCCTGTTGTATCTATGTGAACCGAATTTCATGCCAAGGAGGTTTCTACGGCATGGCACAGAGTTACGTCTTGTTACCTCAGGCTGGAGGATGTGTGCTTCCTCGTAATGTTTGACAGGATCTCCTGTGGCTCTATGTCAGACTCTACCCTTCACAGTCAGTTAATCCCTGTTCGATTTTTATGAGGCTCTGGTAAGTAGTAGTAGTACGTGGTTCCTTCAGGTGGAACAGAGAATCTGATGTGGACAGTTTGGTGTAGGGGTGAGGCAGGTAGGGTTGGGCCGCTGAAAGGCGCCAAGGCAGGTTGTTTTTTCGGTCTGAATTCTCCTTTTGAGCCAAGGCTCGAAAAACAAAAGGGCCCTTTGAATTTTGTACTGCATAGATGTCTGTTTTCTTCCATTAGCCCCTTCGAGGCTGTTTCATTAGTACTTGTTGCAAGTTGTTCTCAGAATTTTCTCAGCCAAAGCCGGGTAATGGCCCCAGTGCTTTGATACTTGTGTATTTTTATATGGGACGATGGGCCCGGTTCCCAGCACGTGCTGCTCCCCACGAATAGATAGGAGCATTTTGTTCCCCCCCCCCAAAAAAAAAAGAACATTGAATCTGGAGGCAGCATGGCACCGGTGGCAATGTAGTGGAAAGCCTTCAAGTTGATGTGAAGCATGGGACCATGTCATGTGAGCGGTGCGGTAAAGCTGCGGACGTGAGTTCTCTGCAGGAATCCATGAAGGGAATTTTTTGTGTCTTCTCAGACTCTTCTGCACTAAGTCTTAGGATCTCCATGTGCGTGGTGATTTTGCCTTCAAATGCTCTTTGCTATCCTTCGACGTCGTGAGAGCATCAGGGAATTTCTTTTCTTTCCCTGTGGAGATGTTGATTATTGGTGAGTACTCCTAGCTTGCAGACTCCTTTCTGTCCGAAATGAGCAGTTGGGGGAGACAAACGTGTGCTATGTTCTTCGACATTTCTCCGTTCTGGTTATTATTATCGAAGTGTTGCAGTCGATAGCCGCACTCTCTTCTGTTTGAAGGCAGTGGTGAAGGATTACGCTAAGTAGAATCGACTCTATTAATTGGTAGTCGTTTCATCATCTCAGAATCACGAGTGTCGTTGCTGCTTGTTGCTGCTGCTTTTTTTATTTATGGAATCAGTGCAGGCGACAGACAAAAACGGGGAGGTGGGTTGGTAAGTGACGGAGCGTCGGGGGAGAGGAAAGAAAGTCTGGTCACCTTGTGTGAACATTTGCTCTGTCTGGAACTGTTGTCTCAGAAGTTACCCTGAGATGGATATGAAGATGCAATTGAAGCGTAAGACGGATGCGAGGATGTCGGAAGAGCTTCAATCATGGACGGGCAAGGACCATAGTGGCAAGGATGTCACCTCTTTCCCTGGTGATTTGCAGCCCCCTTTAGCGCCCCTGATGCTTCGGATAGGGCTCGGCTACAGGGGCTCAGATGTGTGGGTTTAGAGATGACACTGGTGGACATTTCAAGGGTTCAGCCACAGGGGCTCAGATGTGTGGGTTTTAGAGATGGTGTTGGCGGAGATTTCAAGGCTTCAGCCACAGGCTCAGGTGCGTGGGTTTAGAATCTTTAGATATATGACGCCGTGGCCCCTGTAATACAGTGCAAGTGTCCATCGGGCGGCTGGATGTGTGGGCACTCTCAATGCGACCACACAGACGCCGGGAGCTCGCACCTTTAAACCACCAATATTTTGGCCAGCTGGGCAGCGCACACCCTTCAGCTACCCCGATGCTTCAGATAGGCTCGGCCTACTGGACCGAAAAGGATATCGGCATCCATTGGGCCCTCAAAACGTGCCTGTTCAAAATTTTGGGGGGCCTGGGGGGGGGGGAGTGCACAAATCGAGCCTTGACTAAAAGAGGCTCGGAAATACTGGAGCTGTAAATGGTCAAATGGAGATTCTTGTTGGGCGAGCATTTATAACCCACTGCAACTCTTCACCATCCCTTTTTTCTTGGGGGGGGGGAGGGAGGGGGCGGCATTGATTAAAGGAGGCTCGAAAATATTGGTGCTGTAAATGCCACTACAATGACTAAATGGTTGAATGGAGGTTCTTGCTGGGTGAGCATTAAATTTTATAACACACCGCAATTCTTCGCCATGATCCTGTTTTGACCTTGCGGATGGTATATGTTACATCTTCGACGCCACACGGGTCCTACCGGACCCGACATAGGGTAGAGGGACACAGTAGGGCCAAAGGCCCGACCTTGGGGTACTACAGGCCGTAAAGGCCTTACCTTTGACCAGACCCGACGGGCCGGCCCAAACGATGTTACCGTTTGGGCCTGGCGGCGCTCTTGAGGCTGCCGCCCGCCAGTTGGGGCTGAACCGTCCATCTGGACGGTTCAGGGCACGGTCAGGCCTCGCAGCATAGAGGCCGACCTCTGCCCACCGGTACAAAGGTACCGGTCCAGCCTCAGTGAGGATATCGACCCACCGGTATTCTACGCGGTGCGGTAAGGTCGGCGCCAGAGCGCCGTTGGAGCGCTATTCTTAGCGCAGGAGGAAGGACAGCAGCAGCGCGAGCTAGCGCAGCGGCAGCAGCGAGCGAGGACAGCA